ATTGTTAAATTAATATATAATCCAATTTTGTTTTATCATTAAAATTTTTTTGTTTTTAAATATGTTTTTCCGCCCCGCCGGTAATTGTGGTGGCTTTTTTTTTCCCCCCCCCCCCCCCCCCCCCAATTTTTTTTTCGAAAGTGTGATAGCGAGTATCCGATTAAAAGAAACGAAGGTATATGCCCTCAACGGGACGCCGCCCGTCCGAGGTGCTGTTATCGCTATGACCATGCATTAAACCGAGAATAAAAAAAAATAAAAAAAAATGGCGGCCTGGCCCCGCGTGCTCGAATATATGGTTTAAACCCGTCTAAATGAATAATCGGGATCTTCTGTCGTCGGACGGCTCTCAGTAAGCCGGTACGGCCCTCAGAAAGCGTAATGGACTCGGATGATGATCCGAATTCCTGCGGGTAAACATCTGTTGTACAAGAAACTTAGGCTTCAGATCTAGGGATTTAGATAAGAGCGGGAGCGCGATGCGAGGGCTCTTCTTCGTTTGCCAACGCATCTTGATGCAATCGTCTACGAGAGCCATGATGCCAGTGGCAACGACGATGCTAAGGATATCATTAGTATTTTGTTTAAGGGGTTAAAAGGGGGTTCGTTTTTTAAAAAAAGAATCTGGATACTTACTCGGCAACGTCGGTCATAGCCTCGACCAGACTTTCGTCACTAATCCACATGTGACAAGGTGGTATCCAACCGCCGGCATGTTCGTCGGCAGCCACCTGGGTGGGTGATCGAGTTTCGGGAACGATATGCGCTACAGGTCGGCTGTTGTGACCATCCCGTAATAGGTGATAGGAGACAGAATCGGTGAGCTTGTCCACCACTCTCTTCCACGAGTAATTGTGGCCCCACCATTCGAACTCGTACTTCTTCGCATTCTTTTTCCCACGCCTGACCACGTCGACACGGGCATAATTGGAGAATTCGAGCTTGATCGTATTCGTGGGTGTCGGGCGGGCCTTCTGCTTCTTGTCGATGGGGATAGGATTGGCGACTCCTTCGGCGTAGTCATCTTCAGCCGAGGTAGCAGAATGGCTGGTGCTTGGCCGGCTCTTCGACGAGAAGACGGAGCCGCTAGTGGGAATGCGGATGAGCTGCGGTCGCTTTGCCAAGGACTTCATCGCGCTTGACACTGATCGCTGCAGGTTAGGGCGAGTCATGGTGGGCGGATCGACGTATTTCCGCTTCGAGTTGCATACTTCGCGGCCGGAATCTCGGGAATACCGCCTCAAGGAAAACTCTCGCTTGTTGAGGTCATACATCCGCAGGTGGAACAGCTGGACCGTCTTCTTTCGTCTACCCAGAACAGTGGTATCCACCCTTAGGTTCATGTTCCCATCCGACGTGAAATCGTCATGTCGAATTGTTAGTCGATTCAAGGACGGAAATAGATCAGCGAATTCCTCGGGGTTCGAAGGTCTGACATTGAGCTCCTCGATATCATGTCGGTAAGGAGGCAAGTCAGGTATATCCGAGAATTCGGGATAGCCGTCCGAGTCGGTATCGTCCGAGAAATAAGCACTTGAAGCCTGCGATGAGTATGTGTCGACCGATGACCGTGGGTATAAGCTTGTCGCGGGCGAGAGGTCCTCGTCGTAGCATGCCGCCTGAAATTTGCGAGTTTGACAGCCCGAATCCTTAGTTGATGTAGGGCTGTCATAAAGAGATGTAGCAGCAGTACTTCTCGAGTCATATGTGTCGCTGCTTTGCCTCGTCTCTCGAGTGCTAGCAGAATCACTAGAGAATTCGGTATCTCGTCTTCGTGCCATGATGAAAGGAGAATATGAAGGCATGTATGCGGTTGAACAAGAGTAGGGGGGCTGGGTTAGTAATGAGTAGGATGTTGATGAACCGGGGGGCAAAAAAAAAGAAGAGCAAGCAAAGGATCCTTTATCTATATCTGCGAGGAGGATAAGCGTCCTGGTGATCTCAGGGTCTTGGGATGCGTAGTCGGATGTGGGACACTTGGGATTCAAGTAGTGGCAGTTCGAAGAAGCCCCACTGAGGCCTGATATGTGTATAGATGGTGATCTTTATAGACGCAAGGGTTTGTTTGAGAACTGCTCGACATGCGCCCGAACCGGGTAATGGACGCGGGACCCGGTAGGATGAGTAGCTGGTCAAGGCGAGAAGTGGATGGACCCTATGATGGAATATCTAAGGCGAAATGGTAATGTTTGGCCGTCGAAGTGGACATTGAATATGGAACGGGAGTTTATGCAAGAGTCTAACACTGAATGAGATCCGTTATAAACGAGGGGAGCCGAGTGGAACAACATGGCACAACGAGAGAGATATAAAAGTCTCCGGTGGAACGACGGGGAGGCTTAACTTTGACGATATTGGCTGGAGCTGAGCTGACGAAAGACAAACGCCCGCAGATGTAGGAGTGACAAGAACAGGAGACACACAAAAAAAAAGACGGGCGCTACTAACCCTGCTCAGCCATCGATGATACCTACTTAAGTAATTGTCGTGATACTACCTATACTACTCTAGACCTACTTAGACCTACCTGTACTTGACAAATGTATACCTACTTGATAGGTAATGTACTCGAGGCTTGAACAGGGCATGACAGGCCTGACAGGTCTGGTGGGAGTCTCGTAAAGAGGGGATCGCCGTTGGTTGGACGGAGACGGACGAAAGCCTAGCAATAGTTGGCCGAACTGCCAGAGCATCGAAGAACCTTCGAGTGGGGTTTTTTTTTCTTTTTCCTCTTTTTATTTTTTTTCCCTCTTTTTTTTTCTGCCTTCAAGAGGCCCCTAACTCTTCTCCAGAAGTATATCAGAGTATAAACCAAATACCGTAAGACTTTAAAGGTAACATTCGGTATAGCAGTAGTTGCACATGTCCGGCATGTACCTACTATACCTATCGTCTTTTCTCTCTCTCTCTTTTTTTTTTTTTTTTTCGGCGTCGCACATGGTGCTCGAGTCTTTCCAATCCAGTATTTCATTCCCTCATTCTGTCGCACAGCTTTTCCCTCAAGTATAGCCCGAATATGTGGTAGGTGGCGAACTTTCGTCGCACCACCATCATACTACGCTTACAAGCTTTTCGAGCGGTAAAAAAAAAAAAGAAACAGCTTTCATTTTAGCTTCAACGCTTTGTAATGTATAACGCCTATAATTGAGCTACGATACAGGTGAGATTGTCACGAGCTCAGCAAGAATCGCAAATTGGAAAATCCAATGGATTTTAGTTGTCGCAGCGTAAGAAAAAAAAAAAAAAAAAGTACAGCTCAGCTTACAAATACGGTGCATGCGACAATGCAGCACTGTATTAGCAGTTTAATCGCCTGTCATTCCAAGTATCTCCATAACCCCAATGGCAAGGAGGTAAGCGCTTACCGGATAGTGATTACCTACCTTTAAGATAAGAATGGCGGGGGTTTTCTGTACACTGTCTGACTGTTTATACACGCTGATCGTGTAGGCACGGGTATAGGTACCTGTAACGTAGTAGCAAGATGTACGAAGTATCTAGGTACCTAAGGTGGATTACCTAGGTCGGGTATACCTAGTGCAAAGGCATGGAAGTCCCTACAGGTACCTGGTATGCACATACCAAGTATCCAGGGGGTTCCTCCCAGCTGGAAATTAGTTAACTCGATTCTTTTTTGGAAGCATCGACTTTAATTCTGCTTGTTAGTACTAGCATTACAAAGAATTGTCTTCCCAATTCTTAGCCAATTGGCCGTCAGAGGAATTCACTTGTTGTAATTTTTTAACCTGGGTATTCTTCAACAGCAAGATGTCTCCTTACACAACATGCTAACCATAATACAACCATGCTAACTCTCAGTCAGCATCAGACCTGCTTCGACGATAGTCGGACAAGAGTAATCTAAGAGATACATGTCTGCAACGTTTCTCATTCATAAATTCATTGGTCCCAACAGCGACGTTGGATTCCGCAGTGATGGTTAACTGATGCGAATTTCCAAATCTCCCATCTGTAAAAGCCACGAAGTCTACCCAGCAAAGGCCCAGCAACGGCCCAGCAAAGCATGTGTGACAACTCGTCATGTCAGCGGATTGCAGCAAATTATGGGATATAGTAAAACGGAAAAAAGTAGGCACAGCTGCATCGTGCTCCGTTATGACGTTGCAGCGATGGCCGCTCATCCTATAGGGATTGTCTTCCGCTTCGAAATAGTTACGGTCCTGCACTGCCTACCCGTCTATCACTAACATTGTGCACTACCGTCGTCATTGCTTCCAATATCCGTTCCGGCAAGGGACAAAAAGATGCGAGGGCTCACGGTCACTTGGATCTGGGGTGCGCTTGTGCCCAACCAGAACGCCTCGTTTTGTACCGAGGCGACTGGCTATATACTACATACAATACATGGTATACATGGTATACTACACATATAGTATGCTACAGTATTATACTACTACCTTTGTCGGTAAAAAAGAAAAAAACAAACAAAATAAACTCGCCTAGGGGTTCGTATCTCTTCGATTGGAACAGCGATCTGCGTTGTCTAACTTACAGCATTCGTTTAAAACTTAATATGTTTCTAATTTGAATTTCTGGCTGCCACGCCTAGGTTCTAGATGCTGCGAGAGAAATAGAAGCACTACCATAGAGTGCCATCGTACCCCCATTACAACAAACAGGCCAACCCTCAAATTGGATGTTTTGAGGAGCCAGAATAGATCAGACTCGAATCATCTTTTTTTCTTTTAACCCTTTTTCTTTTTACTTGCATCTCAGAGTAATTATTGGGCCAAGCCGTTACCAGCGGACAGCTCAATAGATTGGCATCTTGGGATCTTGGGTACGTATGCCATTACCTAGGCCGCGATGCTTCAGAGAGGGGGGTCTGAAGTTGCCAGTTTTTTATTGCCCCGTGGTTCGACAATTCAATCGAGAATTTTTTGCGACTCTATTCAAGCAAGGAAATATCTCTGCACTATCTTCTGCACAAGTTGTACAACGGATGCACTAGCTAAGTGCCCAGTTCACATGGGCGTCAATCATACGAAACATCTGTCGCCATCAATCTCGGTCTTCCAGCGCGCTTGTATTTTGTGCGACAGCTGGTGAGCTACCATCGGTTGCTCCACGAAAAGCTCTAACCACATTCTGGTCTGGCGATAGCTAGTGCAGGCTGTTCCTGTCCTTTCTTTGGACCCCCTGGCCCCCCTTCTGCAGGTGGTCAAATACGGGTCTGTGGTGTGTCAACGCCTTATTCGTTGGCATATTTGGACCCGACCTCAGCGTCAGATGCGAGACCATGCGCACAGGGAGGCTCACGCACGTGCTCCTAGCAACTTGGACCTTTTCACTACGCTAGATACGCTAGATGCTTTAGATACTCGAGATAACTCGTCCAAAGTATTGATGGGGCAGTCTTGCTGATTGGTTATTGCGTGTCGTTCTTTTCCTCCACGCAAAGCGTTGCCGAGAAAAATGCAGAGTGAGAGATCCCCTCTACATAGTAGTTAGGTCACTTTGCATATCCCCTTGACACCTTGGGTTTTACCTCCGGGAATGGAAAAGCAGACTCCTCGGTTACTCTTTTTAACGCCTAGTTGATAATGGGCCTAGGGGGCATTCGTGTCATCAAACGGCGATGCTGGACTATGCCACGATGGCAGAAGCAGGTTGGATCCTTCGGATCTCATTTTTCACAAACCCGCGAGCTGGATGTTGATGCCTTAGAGCACCGCATCCCCGGCTAAGCTAACGGAAACGTATTCTTCACCAAAAATGCTTATTTTGGAAATGAGGCCGTTGCAGTGCATCAACAGTCCATGAGGACGCGGCTCAATCTTGCCGTCGGCGATCTTCACGATACCAACCTCTCGATCGTAGGCTCCTCACTGATTTCCGTCGTGGATCATCAGCTCCCCTTGGTTTCCGACGCGGCTGCTTGCCCTGTCTTATACCCCACATGCATGCACGTTGCCGAAGTCGGCACCCAAATCTCTGGATACCCTATTCGACGGGATGGTGTTCCCCTTGACGCAATCGGCTTGCTCTATCAATAGCCGTGGCTTTTACTTGTTAGAGGATGTACTGAGCCACTCTTGCTGGAAGCCATCTCCGCACATTGTATAGGCCATCTGATGGAGTACAGGAACTCATCGTTGCCTTACGATTAATTGATATTAACCTGTGACGTCTGTGGTGCTCTTATTTTACATGAGTTATTTTGTCCATGTAGCAACTACCCTTCCTTGGTAACGTACTTCTTTACTCTCGTTTACTCTTCATTGCGACTAAATAGGGGCCTTCGTAACATGATCCGCTTGGAACGTATCAGCTGCGTCGTGTCGTGGCGCGTGCGGCGGTAATTTTAGCATTGCTTCTCATAGATCGTATCCCTGAAGTGCCCAAGATGCGAACCTAGACCGCGGGGCAAGGAGCAGAAGAAAAAATTTTTAACAAAAAAAAAATCAACAGAGCTCAAAACCAATTCGTATGGAAATATGGATTATATTCCCCATATCTCCACGTCCTGCTCGTCGGACCATTGGGTCGGCGTAAGGGCGCTTCAGATATGAAGATCCAGGGTCCTAATTCCCATCAATTCGAGCTCCCACGAGCTCTCACAAGCTCCCGCAAGCTGGCAACGGGCCGTAGCCCCAATTGATGGCTTTAGAGATAAGCACTTAACCTCTCGATCCCTTGCGATGGTTCCGACCAACACATGCGTTGCTTTTTCTCCGATATGCCAATATATATGGACGTGGGGAGCGTGGGTGGCAGCACATTGGACAGGCAGTGTACCCCGTAGTAAGACTGTGACCCTGTGGTGCAAGATTCATCCTATCGGGCACTCTCGGTAAATCCAGCGACCAACTCTACGCTGTCGATTAAGGGCCGTCCGAGTCGTCGTCTCGCAGTCCACCCTGTCCGTGCGTGGACGAGATTTGCGCATTTGATTCTACTGGCCATTGGTTTGCCACAACTTCTTAACGGTGGCCTGTCAGAATGGTTTCTCAACGCCAATTGCCGGACCATTTTCGCCATCCGGTTGCGATCCAGTTCTCCTATTCCGCACATTCCTAGTGATCCGGTTGAGGGTATCGTTCATCTGTATCAAGTTAGCCTGGTATATGTGATAGCAGGGTTGACGCAGCAAACAGCATAATGAGGATAGGATATTGCTTGTTCGAGACTGATGGACCTTTTGTCAGTCTTTTCATACCTGAGTCCGTAGGTCGTATTCCAGAGACATTGGGCACAATAGCATAATGGCCTTATGGCTATTGGTCGAAACCTACCTAGGTAGGTATTTTCCCATACAGCATTTTGTTATAACCCGCCACCGACAGCCGGGCCAGAGAGTATAGTCTGACAAACACTTTGTCTAGGTAAGTAACACCTTGGTCCGATTTTCTAAATAGGCTTGTCACCGCAAAACACTGCAGATAACTACCACTGCAATGTCGAAACCGGGTTGAAACAGAGCAGCAAGGCACGTGAGACATACAGTCATAACATAACCTTAGAGAGAGAGAGTCGGACAGCTTTTGCACAGTTTTTCCACAAGCCTCCCTTTTTTTCCACACCAGGTCTCGCACGTGTATCACGTGTCAAGGTTGTAAAATCAAGCGAACGCGAAAGGAAAGAATTCAGCGGTCAAGTAATCTGTAAATAGGTACATATGTCTCGGGTATTCGCGTCGCGTTCTCCGAGCCACATGTTCCGAAGATCGTCGACCGATGGAAGGGGCTGTAAGGTGAAGGGGAACATAGAATTATAGGAAAAGGAGATATACGTAGGTATGTTCTGAGATCTATGACACAACTTAAAAAGATCTAACTAATAGTGTATAATAGTGTGAATTATTGTCATTATAATATTATTATGGTGGCTGGCTTGAGTGATTAAATTATTATGTAGGACCACACTTTTCTCTCTCCTTTTTTTTTAATTTTTTTTTTTTTTTTTTTTTTTTTTTGTAATATATACTTTGTGCCTAACCTGAAAAGCGGAATGACGTCCACCTTTTCTCCTCTTTCTCTCACCGGTAGTCGTACAAACGAGAATAAACCCGGCACGTACATGAGCGTTAGGTATATCTCACCCACGCCATCCCCGGGACCCCTTTCTAATTCGAGGATTAGAAAAATGTGGTGACGTACTTCTTGTTCCTAGATGACAGCTTTATTTCAACATATGACCTTATACATATCCATATCTTCGATTAAGTTCGCTTCGGTGTTACTGGATGGTTGGTGCATATGGCGCGCAAGAGAGGGAAAAGAGACGGGAAGACAGGAGGAGAGAGGAGAGAGAGGCACGAAGGGGACAGCATGAGGCTAGGTAGATTTCTACCGTAGTCTATATCGTTGAAAGTCATTGTGTGACGACAGACAGACAGACAGGAAGGAAGGCTGCACGATGATGCTGCAACGAAGGGAGGGGGAGGGGAGGGATTCCGTACGGGGAAAGCGTAGTCGAGAACCCGAGCGCCGGGGAATACATCCGCGTTGGTTTTAAGGAAAAGGAAAGGGAAAGGGTTATATCATGATCGATCATAATAATCATTTGTGCTACCCTCATAAGATGCAGGTGGTTTGCCGGCATATTGGTGTTACCTTTAGGTAGGTAGGTAAGTTGGTAGTCGTTATAGTGTACGGGTATCTGCTGGTTACCTGTATGTATGCTGTGATACAGGATACCGAGATACTGGAAAGGTGTTGTTATAAACTACCTACACTATAGATGATTACCTTAGGTACATTTATCGTAGCTTTATTCTATCTTACCTCATTCCGTATAGGTAAGTGAATGATAGTTACCGGTAGCTAGGTTGGTATTCCCCTCTTCTATTCTCTCAACTACGTCAGATATATCACCTCACCTAGGTACCTACCCAACAAAACATGATCCACTTACCTGTTGATTGATAACTTCGCTGGTACTAGGGACGTCATTAGGTACTCCGATACACACCGGTCGGGTTAAAGGGGTCTCGTGCTTATTTCTAAGTTAGGTATATACACGGAGGTAGCGATTCTACAGCGAAGGGAAAGGAGATGGGAGAGCAAGAAAAATAAAAAATAAAATAAATTACCGGAAACACCATACGGTTCTTGTAAGATGAATGATATTAATAGCAACCCGTACTTTACGCTTTGATGTCGGAGGTTGACGCGACGTGTTTTGTTTGTAGGCATACCACTTCAAGGTATATCGCATCACGCCTTACACACATACACGCATACATACCTACATACACTCCTCTATGTATCGTAGCCTGCCTACCTATGCAATGTGAGAGGATAACCTTTAGTTAGCGCTGGACAGGGCAATCGAAGGAGACGAGATGATCTCAACGCCTTAAGATTAGCAACTTGGACAAGCACCCCGAACCACGTGATGAAGACAGCGATGACTCTGTCCTAACAAAAAGACGTACAAGTTCGCAATAGAGGTGCCGTATGTACATGAGCAAAGCGATGTAGTCAAGTAGAGTACATAGAGCTAGCAATGGTAACGATGCTGCATATCATGATAAAAAAAAAAAAAAGTCCTTCATCATCATGATCATCATTATCACCCATAGCTGTGACTATGAATATTACCTAGAATATGACTACGATTAGGACCATGACTTGCGACTATGACACGAGCGACGTTGTCCGGGACACCTTAACGAATGCTTCTTTCTTCTTCATCTGCTTCTTCGTTGTTTTTACTCTCACACCTGTCCTAGTCTTCATCATTAATATCATCATCACGCCTCTCGTCTCTCGATGATATATCCGCTCCTCACTTCTTCTCACCTCACCTCACCTCAACTCCTCACTGACTCACTTCATGCATCGTACCGTAGATTCTATTACTTCCTTCACCCCCTTTCTTTGCCGCCGACGTCATCTCTCCATCGTACTAACTAATAAGGGGGCAGCGGGTAGGGGGGGGGGGGGGAGTGGAGAGACATTAGAATGGTATCCGCATGGGGCTATCCACGCTGACCCTCCCATCTGTACCGACCCTCATGAGTATCGGCCACATGTATTCATAGGACGGTCGTCGAGACCGCTAGTCTGAGCTCCACCCGATCCAGCTACGCGGCATCACCCGCCAGATCTTCACCTCGCCACTTCTGAGATCCTCCAACTTGAAACTCTCTTGTTTTACTTTCTTGCTTTCGCGACCCTGCTCCCACGCCCTAACCTTCTTTTTGGTACCGTCCCACTCTGCGACGATCGCCACGTGGTCCGGTTTGCCCACTTCCATAGTGTATTTGGCGTGCATGGGCCCATGCTTGCCTTGAAACTTGGCATTGCGGATGGAGATGATATCTCCTGGTCTAATCTCGTCGTTCTGTTGTGTCGATGCATTAGCTAAATTTGCGTAGACCAAGGCACCATAAGCGCGCCTTCCGACGGGAAGCAGGGCATCTTTTAGAGGTTTGAGAAGTTCGAGAATGAGCGCCGTCGGAGATCCATCGCCGATGACTGAATCCTTCCTACTCGCAACGGCACTGGACAGTGCTCGGCCAAATCGTTCATACGCTTCTTCCAACTCATCTTGACGAAGACTTCGAGGAGGTGGTTCATGGCGTTGTTCAAGCTGGTAGTCTGCGGGATTTTGGCTATCGAAACGGACGGTAACAACGGTTTGCGAGTAATCTTGGAAGAGGATGAACACCTCTTTGGTGACTGACGTCCCAGAGGTTGACTCATCGCTTTCGGTATAAATATCTTGTCTACCTTGAAACACCGGAGGAAGTCCGTTTGGCGTAAGCCACCATTGGGTATGGCCAGCCAGATCTACCTCATTTGCCACGTAGCCCGTTTCCATTGACGGTCGGGACAAGTCGACTGATCGTCTTCCACCTGGTCTTTGCACGTCTAATGATGTTCGAGCTGGTGCCCTATTGACTGGAGGTGCTGGTGGGGGCCCTCGGGTGACTGGTGGAGGCAATTGCGGCGAATTATACGCGGAAGAGGACTGAGGTGTTGCGTCATGAGTGCCTAGAACATGGGGAGCTGTAGCAGAGCTACTTTGGGCGGCGGTATAATTGAAAGGATCATAATCATCATCGTTATAGGATGCCTCTTTGGGAGGAGGAGGCGGAGGAGCGGCCCGAGGCACGTCGATAGAACCTCTGGATCCTGGCGGGGGTTGGCTAGGAACTGGGGGAGGGCCAGCTTTCGGAGCGGTGGCGCTAGGGACCGGAGGAGGTAACGACGGTGGAACATCGGTTACCGGTGAACGGACTGGGGTGCTATCATCGAAGCTGGAATCACGGGCATGCGACTTGAGCGCATCCTTATGAGGAACCGAAGACGCAATATCAGTGTCGTAATCGCCTTCGTATTCGGTTAATTCACCTTCTTCACCATTGTCCAGAGCTCCAGGCCGCATTGGAAGTGCAATTCGCTCGTCAGCTGTAGAAGAACGGCTTAGGGGACCGCCAGGGGGGGGAGGGGGAGGGGGGCGGCTTTGAGTAAGTGGAGGCGGAGCACCGCTCGGTATAGGAGGCGGCGGACGACTATTTCTCTTATTTGGTAGTGGTGGAGAAGCTGGTGAAGCTTCCTCGCCAATATAGGAGGTCCTCCGATTAGGAACCCGCGGTGAAGTTGGTATTGTGGGAGAGGTCATGGAAGCTGGGGGAACTCGACTTGCAGGAGGAACCTCGCTCTGAGGAGTTTCTAGAGCCCTCTGGGCGCTCTCGGATAATTCATCATCGGATTCGGAGCCTTGGCTGGGTGAAATTACTCCAGTAGGAAGGGGTCGAGCTGATGGTATAATTAGCTAGAGTACGGTCGATAGAGAAAGGGGGAAACTGACAATCTGTAGGCACCGGGGGCGGTGCGGGTCGTCCTCCAGGGACGGGAGGTGGAATACTAGGTGTATCTGACAGAGCTATCCGTCGTGTTAATCGCTTTACCATAGCCATAATAAGACAGAGCACTCGCCGGGATTGAAACTTACGTGCTGGAGCTGAACCGGTCGGCTGGGCACTGACAACCGGTGTAGTGTCTTGCCCGCCTGGCTCATCATGATCGGGCTCGGCAGCTTCTTCCACTTCCTGCTTGGGTTTCCCCATGCCAGGAAGAGGCACCATAACCGGAACCGGGGGAGCAGACATTCTAGGCGACGAAGGCCTGTCTTGAATTTCGCTCGAACGGCGCTCCGATGGTGGTGAAGCTTTAGGCTTCTTCGGTATCATCGGGCCACCGAAGGGCATCATCGCGGGAGGACCGAACATACCGGGGAAGCCCATGCCACCGCTCATCTTCGCCATCCTGGCACGGAGCTCCTCCTTTCGCCTGACTTCAGGGTCGATGTCCTCTTCCTCTTCCTCTTCTTCCTCCCGATCTTCCGGAATCTCGGGCTCAGTGGTTCCTCTATGAGGACGAGATTTTTCGTCACTATCCTCTTTCTCAGTGAGATCTTCTTGTCCCTCTGTTGTGTCTCCCGCGCCCGACATGTCCGCCTCGTTTCCATCATTCTCGGGGCGTGCTACAGAAGACCTTCGCCGAGAACTTATTGACTGTCGTGGAGGTCTAGGCTCATCCATAGACTTCTTGCTAGCAATCTCAGCCGTATCCATTCTCTCCAAAGGAACCGATGCTTCTGCTTCGTCTGCTAGGGCTCCTTCCTCACTCTCAGTACGCTTCTTCTGGGGACGTTTAGGCTTCTCCTTTTTCGCAACGGCCTCGGCATGACGTTGTGCAGCTTCGGCCTGCTGCTTCTGGAGTAAGGCAATTCGCTCCTTCAAGCTAGTTGGTTTGGGTTGTTCTTCGTCTTGGCCTTCGGAAGTCCCGGTTGGAACGAGCCCGGCCTTCTCCGCATTTTCTAGAGATTCTGCCTCTGCAGCTTTGATCTCGGGATCCTCATCTCGCCGATAGACTTTAGCGGTAGGCAAATCGCGAGGCGGAGGAACATATGCATTCCTGCTAGGCGGAGGAGCAACAAATGGTTTCTTGATAAAGCCGGAGCTACCGGAACTGAGACTGCTGGGTTTGAAAGGAGCAACTGGGGGAGCAGCTGGTTTGTTGAAAGCTGCTATACGGTCTCTAAAAGAGCTACCGCCAGGCTTGTCAGATGCCGGAGATGCAGCCCGAGCGGCGGCCGGAACCGGAGGCTTCGACGCCGATGGAGGAGCAACACGGGGACTTGTCGGCTCAGGAATTTTAGGTTGGACAGGGACGGGAGCCGGGATGGGAGCCGAGTCTGGCGGCTTAGCTACAGGAGCAACAGGGGCCGGAGGAGAGCGGGGAGCGGGAACTGGAATCGGCGGTGAAGTAACACGTGGTTCTTCGTAGGCTGCTTCTGATGGTATATCCGCTTGTTCCTCCACAGGCGGTGGAGAGTATGGAGCAGCTGTTGGTGGCGGCGGAGGGGAAGAAGGAGCAGCAGGCTCTGCATCCTTCTTACGGGTTCTTGTTGGACGTGGCGGGGCAGTTGGTTCATACTTCTCCACGAAGTTTCGGGGAAATATTCCCTCTTGCTTCACTCCCAAATCGTCAACATATTCACCGCCGTACCAGTCAGCATCCTCATCGTCGGTAACAGTTATGATTTGGCCAGTTGAAAAATGTAGATCGTCCTCGTGATTCGAGGTATACTCGTAAATGGCCTTCACCCTGAATGGCACGGCAGCCATGGTGATGGTGTGTCAAGCGTGGTAAATGTGGTATAATGAAACCTGGTGGAACTCGATCTCGGTAAGCTTGTTGTGCAATTGGCGGGGTCGTAGACAAGTTGAGCTAAATGAAGGCGACCGCGGGGTCTTGTAAATTGTTTTTTTTTTCTTCGTCTTCTTTTCCTTTCGTTTCTCTCTCTCTCTAGCTGTTAGAGATGTTCTAGGACAAACAAGATCCTATTTTCCTCGAGTAGTGTTTAGGTAGTTACAACGAGCGATGTATCACGATCCGATAAATTAGGTAGAAGGGGAACGGAAACGGGAACGCATGAGGCTGAGCATTCGCAAGTTAGCCTGTCACAGCTAGCGGCTGGAGCAGGTCGACGTCAGCGCATGAACTTGTACCCTTTATATTGTTTTTGCAATAGATGAGATGTAACCCACCGTTAAAAGCTAAGCTTGGCCTGGCCGACCGAGGTTGCGTGTTTTAAGTTGAGCTGGGTGCATATGATGATTAATGGAGTTAATGGAGTCTTTGTCCGTATTCCCCTTATTTTTTAAGTATGAGCCCGTTAAAAAGTAAGCGGCGGGTTCAATGAGGGTTCAAGGTTGGGGTCTACAAAAAAAAAAAAGTTCTGAAAGGTGCGGTTGGACACCTGACGGGATTCAAAGGTGAGGGAAAGGATGCAATGCAATTGTGCAGGGTTTCCTTCGGCTTGGCTTAACTTTAGGCTGCTACCTACTATGTAATTATGTTAAGGCAGGCGCACGGGCCAATGACGATACCAAATGCACCTTTTTTATTCTTCCTTGTGGCACATTAGGTAAGACTGAATATGTTCTAACTCGCACCGTGTGGGTCGATTACGTTTTCTGCAGACAATACATACAAAGCTGCTTCAGGGTATTAACACAGAGGCACTCCTTTCACTGTGCAACTACGTAACGACGGAACTGGAATGCCGATAGTTATAGAATTTCAATTAGGTACTTACGACGACAGCTTGAGAAGCCACGACAAACTACCTACCCAATCTACCTTACAAACAAACATCATATCATACATCTAACTAGGCAATATGTCTTCAACGGCTTCTACACCCTCGTCACAACCCAAGAAGCCCAAGGGCATCTTAAAGAAACCCACAACCAGCACCACGGCCAGCACGGCCACCACCCCCGTACCTATCTCCCCCTTCCCCATCGAAGAGCACAAGCCCGCCACCCCTAAACCCGGCGCGCGAGAAGCAGCGGTCCAGCAAGCGCGCATAATCCAGCAGCAGCGGGCGCTCGAAGACGAGATCCAAGACTGCATCATCGAGCTGTCGCGGCTTCCCCTCGCCACCTCTGGCTCTGGCTCTGCCTTTTCTTCGTCCAACCCGTCCCCCGACGACGCCGACGCCTTCCGCCGCCTGGTCCGGCTCTTCCAACCCGGCGACTACGAGGACATGATCGAGGAGCGTAACACGCTCGACAAGTGCGGGTACGCACTCTGCCCGCGCCCGCGCGTGCGCCTCGGCCCCGGCGGCGAGTACAAGCTGGTGAACTGGGGGAAGGCCGACTTCGGCATCGTGCCGCGGAAGGAGCTGGAGCGCTGGTGCTCGCGGGAGTGCGCCCGCCGCGCCATGTACGTCAAGGTCCAGCTCGGCGAGACCGCCGCCTGGGAGCGCGCCGGCCTCGCCTCCATCCGCATCGACTTGTTGGATGAGCCGAAGCAGGCCAAAGAGGAAGAGGATGATCCGGCGAGACGGCTCGAGAGGGAGCTGGAGAACGTGGAAAGGAAAGCTGCTCAGGATGCTAAGGATCTGGCGCTGGAACGGGGCGATTCGGTGGACAAGCCGACTACGAGAAAGATAAAGCTTACCATCAGGGAGAAGTCTGTTAAGATGGCGGCACAAGAGCCCTCGCTAGATGCGGATGGCGAAAACCATTTGGTCCTGGATGGTTACAAGACGAAATTCAACCGAGAGGCGGAACAAAAAGGAAAGGAAGACGAAGACGACAATATGAAAGAGTAAGAACCCGAACAACAGGCAACTGAATGAGACGGTAGCATTTTGATTTTTACTAGCATAGTTCTGGCGTTCTGATCAGGATCATTTGAGATACCCTTGGTAAAAAACTAACGAAGACAACATTTGTACCTAATGCCAAATTGTCCGGCTTACGGGAGTATGAGGAGTTAATAAGGACCTAGAAACAGTAAATCCTAATCAAGTACGAGTCACGTAAGGGCAAAAAAAGGGGGAATAAGAATTGGCCATCAACCGTCATCGCCAGCAAATGCACTGGAGAATCGGGGACACCTTGTGTGGGAAAAGATCTCGTCAATTGCGGATCTAGAATGGTACCTACTATCGACCGCAGTAGTTAGAGACGCCGTAATACCATGTTGTTAAGACCGATGCCAGTTGCCCAAACCAACCATCATAACCCTTCCTTCGCTTTTTTCCTTTCACGCGACGAAAACCGTCAATAGGTAGCTATTTTTGCACCGTTTATCGGGGAGCGCGGTCGCCGAATCTGCGAGGTCGCTCAGCAGTCTGCTGCTGGGTGACGGGGACGACGTTGACGGGGACGTTGTCGAACTAAATATCGGATAACAGTTAGCAATTGACACCCAGCTTTTATTAAGATAGTAGAAGGGAGATAAAAAAAACGTACGCCAAGGTGCTTCAGCAGGTCCTTGGTCTCAACATCGATGTCGAGCTGGCCGGCCTCGGTGTTCTGGACGAAGTCGAGGGCAGAGACTTCGGGCACGTATTGATCCTTTCGTTCACGCTCCTCTTCTTGCAGCTTGAAGGAGATACCGCGGACGGGTCCTCGCTGGATACGCTTCATCAAGTGAGTGGTGTAACCGGCGATCTGCAAAATATCACCCGTTAGCTTGGATTCCCTTCCAATTCGGCCTTTTCAATTAAATATGTGTAATGTGTTGTCTTGTAGATATGTCGGAAGGTGGTTGCTGACCTTGTTGCGCAGGCGCTTGGAGGCGATGATAGCGATCTCATCGCAGACACGCTTGTTGGTCTCGAAGTCGAGAGTGAGCTTGGGGTAGTACCGCTCAATGATGACCTTGGCGGACTTCTTGACAGTCTTTGTGCGAACGCGACCCATTTTGGCGGTATTGGCTGCGGGTTAGTAGGAGAGTGTGGTTGTTGAAGGAAGTCCGTAAAAAGTTGTCAGTCGATGTTGCGCTTGAGCTTGGGGATGTCTCGAAAAGAATATTTAGAATCTGTGTGGGGGGGAAATTCGGTAAAACTCTGGGTCCTAGGGCAGAAAAGAATTAGTGGGCCGTAGGGGATACTTGGGTACTTCTCTGACAGCCGCCAAAGTTGTCGTTAACAGCTGATAGATGGACCTCTTATTACCTAATCACCTCCCCCTATTATTACCTCCTCCTATTATCTATACAATACACAGCCAAACAAGACAGACGAGGTCACTTCAGCTTGGGTGTTAATTCCATGGAGATCCCCCCACTGTATTATAGAGGATATCTCCTACCTGATATATACAGAAATCATACAAAGCATAGAGTTTACACCACTAGGTAGCTAGTTATATCACACGATGTTCTCTATAACTTCATCCCCTCTTGGCCGGTTTCAGCACTCTCGCGGAATCTATTCATAACTCCTAGGGCTTCGGCCGAGGCCATAATTACCCGCATTACCGGGTATCCTACTTCCTGGCCGCGCGCTAAAGCTACCCGTATACCTGGGATTGCGGGGTATTTGCGGAATCTCACCCTTTTTCACGAGGTCGTCGTATATGGTGCCCTCTCCTACCAGCTCTTTCTGCACCAACTGGCTCTCCGAGTTGGCCTCTTCTACGTTGACAAGGATCCTTCCAGCGGAGTTGACTGTAGCCATGTGGGGTTGCACGTAGACCTTTGATCCGCCGTACTTCTCTAGGTCCAGCTTGTGAAGAGCTGAGTTGAACTCGGAGAGATTCCTCTGCTTTGATGTGTTGAATGATGTATCACCGGTTGGCATGCTTGCGACAAATCCAGCAACACCAATACTTGGGTTGAAGCTGTTCGTGGTAAAGTTGGTAGGCTTCAAAACTCTCGCCTTAACAGGGGCGTGGTTTAATTGAGGTCCGTATAGCGCATGGTTCTCCTGGAAGTTTCGAGTGCGCAGATAAGAAAGACCAGCCGAAGGGTGCGTGATAGGGGGTCCATCCGCACCGTACGGACTTCCACGTGCAAGTTCCAGCCTCGTCCCTGGCGCTAACTGACCAAGCATGGAGAGGGAGGTTTGCAAGTCTACCGGAGCAAGATCCAGGAACCGACTAACGAGGTTGTATAGGGTCATACGGTCCTGCCTTAGCTTCCTCAAGTATTCTGTTAATTCGTCTTCCGAGATTTCGTCAACGGAGACCTCTGGAGGCACGGGCTCTCCAGCCGCCTCAGCCTCCCGTGCCCGTTTCTGCGACATCTCGGCCGCAAAAATCTTCTTCAAAAAGGCACGGAAGTCCGCACGTCTATTCCGCACTTTCTTTTCAATGAACTTCTTAAAGTCGCCGTTCGTCATACCGGCGAGCCATGGTCCCGTGAACTTCCACCTCTTATTTACCAGCTCCACCTTCTGCTTGTCGTCTAAAGCAGTCAGATCGGAATCTTCCTCAAAGACGGACTTCAAATGCTTGGTAGTCGAAAAGGTATCCTGAGCATTGGCAATGGGCACAGTAATCGGCAAGTTCATCTCCTGGTACTTCCATAAAGTTACCGTGTGATCCGATGCAGACTGGAAATCTGTGACTTGTTCGACGGAATCGACCTGCCTCACCCGCGCGAGAGGGTAGGTAGTCTTCGTGGTAGTCCTTAAAGGTAGTGGTCTCTTGAAACCCCAGTCGCCGGTGACTCGAGAGGACGCAGTCGTCGTTACTGTAAGATGCGTGGGGAAGGGGATCGTGGAAGTCGGAGAGTAGTGTCTAGTTGCCGAAGAAAAATCACCGGGAGGAGGCGGTATTGGGGCTGGCATTGAGAACATCCGAGATGATCTCAAGAGCGCCGCCCCAGGGGAAACACTCCGGCCAGCCATCGTGCGCAATTCCAAGCTCGCGGCAGAGCTCAATGCTTTGCCAATGAGGACCTCGGGACCAGCAGACATTGTATAAGTTACGCTGAGCTGAGGAATTTTCGATGAAGCGTAATTGGAGAATCGGTAGATTGTCGGAAACTTCAAAACCTAGGTAGGTACCTGGTATGTAACTAAACGTTATATCTTATCGATTACCTAGGCACATAGGCTGATAGGTAAGTACCTAGGTACCTATCATGGCGGGGCATTAAAATTTAATGATTAACTAAGTTACGTACCAGCATACGTATGTACCTACCCAGCTTCTTTTAAACTTTGGGCATTAGCGTTCCTTCCTAGCCTACGACACATGCAGAGCGGGAGGGGAAGGGGAAGCTACCTTACCTATAATAGGGGCAGGTCCTCTTGCTCATGCAGGCGCTGCAGGGACTCAGGAGTCTTAAAGGGTCTTAAAGCTCCGCTACTGACCTTCGTTACGAAGCCGGCCGGCCTTTATTAGACTTACAACACCATGTTACATAAAAACACAGCAACGACCGTCTAAATAAACTAACAGGTACCCCTCATCGTATACCTATAACTTTTATATACGCCGTGGGACAGGTAGTCATAATCCAAAAAGAAAGAAAGAAAAAGAAATAAGAAAGCAAAAAAGGGGAGAAAAAAGAAAGAAAGAAAGAATAAGGAAAGAAATTAAATCATGGAGTCCATCGACCCTGCAACGGGCCAAGCGCTCCCACCCGATGCCATCCAAAGAGTGCTATTCGTAGCGAGTCCCGTACACGTGTACAACATCCCGCCCATGGTCCCCGGAAAGGGACATGTAGCGGCGACCTGGACGAGCGACGGCAGCAACGACCGGCAGATATTCACGGCGCGCATGCGCGTCATCGAGACGGCCATCCCCGGCGACGGAGACGGCGACGGCGACGGCAACGAGCAGGTGAAGACGGACATCGTGCTCGAGGACGCCGGCACGGGCCAGCTGTTCGCCGCGGCGCCGTACACGGCGGCCGCGGTCGTCGAGCCCGTCTCCGACAGTTCGCGGTTCTTCGCGCTGCGCGTGCAGGACGAGGCCGGCCGCAAAGCCACCCTGGGCGTCGGCTTCGAGGAGCGCAACGAGGCCTTCGACTTCGGCGTGTCCCTGCAGGAGGCCCAGAAGACCCTCGGCTGGGGCGCCCAGGCTGGCGGGGGCCCCGCGGGGGCCAAGAAGAACCAGGCTGTCGAGCGCAAGGATGGCGCCGAGAAGCGCGATCTTAGTCTCAAGGAGGGCGAGACCATCACTATTAACTTGCCCGGACGCTTCGGCAGACGGAAGCCCGAGCCGCCTCCGCGGAGCTCCAGCGACGAGGGTCTTTCCTCGTTCTCGTTACCGCCGCCGCCGCCGTCGTCCTCCTCGTCACCTGCGTCGGCGCCCCGCGGCTCGGGGATACTTCCGCCGCCGCCTGTGTCGCACAGCAGCACGCGCGCCAAGCGGTTGTCCGCGCAGGATCTAGGGTTTGACGACGGCAAGTTTGGCGAGTTCGCATGATGAGCTACGAGTTGTGATTTGTTCGCAACCCTGGACTGGACGGACGTACGGGCCCCCAGACTAGAGTTTTTATGTTATGTATTACTGGATAGTTAGAACTACGACGAACGAGTTACTGGGTTCCTATCCTATCCTATCCGTAATAATAGTCTTACTCCTGCTCTCCGAGACAAAAGAAAAAAAAACAGTAGATTTCTCACTCTCATTATGAACACTCTAATCGATGACTTATGAACCTTCCCTTATCCAAACAATTCCATGTTATCCCCCCTTCGCAGTATGCCCCTAGAAAACCGTGCCAATACCCTAGACAGTCTAAAATCATACAGAATCTCTCCGAGACCAGGCATATTCCATCTCGTCTTCGCCAGTGGTAGAAGGCGTGCTCCGCCGCCCCTGTTCCGCCTCGGGGTGGTCTCCCTCAGCCGTTTCCGAATGGCTGACAGACCCGTCGTTCAATGTATTACTGCCACTGGCAACAAAGGTGCCGCCTGCCCCGAAGCCCTCGGGTGTGTCAGGTGCTTCGGGCATGTGGAGGGGATACACATGAGCTGGACCTGCCCAGTATGGTCCGGGATAAACCACCGGCGCTGGAAAGGGGTTCCAGTATGGCATATTAGGATACCGAATGTCTCCGTAGGGCCATGGCGGAGCCGGCGGCGCTGCGAAACCCGAGTAGTTAGGGTTGTGGTTCTGCTGCGGAAGGCCTCGGGCTGTCCTGCCCTCGTCGACTTGCCGCCATCTCTCCTGGCACTGTATCTCGACGTGGAGCTCGCTCAGCCGCTCCAGCGTCTTCTTCTCCTCCTCGACTATATCAGTGATGCGGTGCCTCAGCCAGCCGCGGAGTTTCTTCGCCCGCCTATCTTCAGATTGGTTTTTAGCGTGTTCGATTTGCTCGTCGACGTCGGGGACTCTACCGAATAGTTGGAGGGCCCGTTCGTCGTGCTGCTGGAGCTTTTCCAGGAGATACATGCGCTCGAAGTGTAGCTCACGGAAGGGGCGTGGGTGAAGTCCTAGTTGCAACGCACTAACCGACTGCCAGGGATCGCTGCGGACTGTTGTCCGGCCTGGTTCTGGTCTGGTGCTATCGTGGTGGTAATGATTTGGCCGTGGTCTGTTCGTACGATCCCCAGAGTCGTGAGGGCGACGGGGCGGTCTACCCCCTGGATTTGTAGGCATACTGAAGTAGGGGTTCTGCAAGCTTAGCTGCTAAGGTTTGTTCTATGTAGTATACGTATGGAGGAACGAAGCTATTTGTATATCAGATTAAACCGTCTAACTAGTAGAATAGGCAAAACAAAGATTTGCCGATACAATCAAATAAGTAGAAAGAGTCCAAGAAGAAACCGATCTCTAGGATGTTCCGATTTCACGACAATAATATAAATACAAAGTGAAATATAGTTCCAGGTCTAGCTAGAGTTTCCATAGATCCATGGAGTAGATAGGTGCCTTGGTACTGGATATATGCTGCAGAATGAAGCACTTAGAATATACATATATTCACATAAAATAGCAACAAAAGATTTTTATCTTGCACCGTGAAACCCTAAGTATTGTAGAACTTAAACACCGTTGAGACTTGGCTCATATGAATTATTTCGTATGAACAATGAGAAATATTCTGGAATAGGTAAGATATCTTCCATAGTGCTAAACTTGCATTCTGGATACCATTCATTCAGAGACCCCCTTGTGAAAGTCATCATATGGCAAATCCATCATGCCGAGGGGGATCGCAAAAGCGCCACTATAAAAAGACAAGTTAATCACTGTAAACTCCAAAGCAGCTCATACGTCTTTAAAGAATCAATGCTGTTATGAAACTTACCAATCCCACAGCCTCCGCGGCGTTCCTCACGATAGACACCTCTTCCTTGGTAACAGGACGATTGATGTCCGCATACCTAACCTCCTCCTCCTCCTTCTCCTCCCGGTTTCCTTCTTCAGCAGTTCCCTTCTTACTTGTTCTTCTCTTCGGCTTCCCCACGTGAGCATCAGGTCGATACTGCTCCATGATATTGACGAAGATGTCGCGCGACACGTTCTGGGCGAGGAACCTCATGATCTGCTCGCCCTCCGCCTCCTTGCCCGGCATGACGAGATGCCTGACCAGCACGCCCCTTTTCGCTATGCCGTCGCCCGTGAAGCACAAGTCCCCCACCTGCGCGTGCATGGCCTTGACGCTCTCGGCGGCGGTCTTCGCGTAGTCCTCGGCCTTGAGCAGCCGCTGGGACGTCGCCTTGCTCCACACCTTGAAGTCCGGCAGGTAGATGTCGACGAGCCCGTCCATGAGCTCGAGCGAGGCGAGCGAGTCGAACGCCGACGTGTTGTACACGATGGGGATCTTGAGCCCGAGGTCCCGCGCGTGCAGGATGGATAGGGCTACCTGCGGCACCACATGCTCCGGCGTGATGAGGTTGATGTTGTGCACGTGGCCCACGTCCTGCAGTTTCAGGTACCACTGCGCCAGCTCCTCGGGCGTCAGGTCGAACCCATTCCGCTGGTGCGCGATGTCATGGTTCTGGCAGAACGTGCATCGGAGATTGCAGCCGGAGAAGAAGACGGAGCCGCTTCCGTTATGGCCTTGTATGCAAGGCTCTGTCGTTTTAATCCGCAATGTTAGTTCGGGTTCGCACCTTAGGTACAGTACTTATTACAAGCTAGAACCGTCTCTTCTCACCTTCGCCGAAATGGGGCGCGATTACGTTGACCTTGACGTTCTTTCCGATGAGACACATGCCCGTGGTTTTGTACCGGTTGACACCGCACAGCCGAGGGCAGAGGTTACAATTTTGGAGGTGCGCGCGGGCGAGCTCGCGCTTCTTAGCGGCGTCGGCCTCCGATAGCAGCTGGTACCGGGGAGTATAGTCCTCTAAGAGGAAAGGTGGAGCTAGATGAAGAGACCGACGATGACGGACCCCTCGAGTGAGGGTTCCAGTGATAAGACTGAGATTTGCGGGAGTGCCAGCTCGTACCCTACTACTTAATAACATCCTGGACGGCTAAGAGCATATTTATATTTATTATACAACTTTTGGTTTATCAACTTGGATATCGTGAGTTAGAAGAGAGGTGGAAGGTTAATATAGTTTAACTTCTATAAGTATAACCTACCTCCTAACGCATCAACCGTGTATTGTATTGTACTGTAGCTGTAGTGCTGATGTTGATATAAGCTTGTCTGCATTTGGTTGCATATACCTTAGGTAGAGGTATGAACTAGGTAAGATAAGTTACTACAAAGGTCAATGACGAAAATTGTCCGTTAAAAAGCCGCTTTAGACCGGAAGCTTGCGGGGCAGTGTTTAGTCAATGGCCGGGCATATTATCATCCCGCCAGCGGCATCTTTCCGTCTGTTCCAAGGTTAGTTGTGATATATTATACAACATGTACCTAACTATAAGTAACAAAGGGTTACCCCTCCACCGACATCTCTAGAGTTTGAAAGATAGACTCTTATAAAATATACCTACCTGTTATACATACCTAGGTACCAGCTATTAGTACAACTTACAAAAACACCATATTTCTTCCTCTAGACAATACCTACCTACCTCCTACCTAAGATAATCACTAATCTACCTTAGCGGCCCGTGAGATAGATATAGTACCTTATACCTATATAGTAAATATGGCGCCTCAGCTACTATGGATTGGCTTAGGGAACATGGGGAGGGTAAGTCTTTAACCTGATACCTATCATGCATAACCCTCGCGCCAGACTTCACTCACTAACTCTCTCATTAAGGGAATGGCAAAGAATCTCGTGGAAAAAGGCAACCTAGAAAAGCCCTTACTCTTATACAACCGAACCAGGAAGCGTTCCGAGGATGTAGCGTCTAAGCTCCCCGCGGGAAAGGCCGAGATCGTCGATTCTATCGAGGAGGGCGTTAAGAGGGCCGACGTGATCTTCGTCATCCTCTCTAACGACGCTGCGGTGGAAAACGTCTTCGAGACTATTCTCAAAGTCGACGTTACCGGCAAGCTGTTCATCGAATGCTCTACGATTCATCCCGACACCGCGCAGAAGGTCGCCGACTTGGTGGCCGAGAAGGGGGGCGATTTCGTCGCGAGTCCCGTCTTCGGAGCACCGGCAGCAGCTGAAGCTGGCCAGCTCGTGTAAGTCAGAAGCTTTTACATACCCGGATACTTATCTACCTCCTGGGTATCTATGCACTTTTTAAATGTCTACCTTTTTACTCACATTAAAAAAAAAATACAGTTTCGTTCCTGCGGGGAAGGAATCCGCCATCGACAAGCTACGTCCTTACATCAAGGGCGTCATGGGCCGGGCGGAGATCCCATTCAACGACCAGCCGGCGGCGAACTCGCCAAAGCTGAAGCTGCTGGGCAACTCGTTCATCGTCAACATGGTGACGGTGCTGGGCGAAGGGTTCGCGGCGGCAGAGAAGATCGGCATCGGCACCGACCCGCTCAAGCAGTTCGTCGACCAGCTGTACGGCGGCATATACAGCGTCTACGCCGGGCGGATGCTCAGCGGGACCTACTGGAAGATGGAAGAGCCGCTGTTCTCCGCCAACAACGCGCTCAAGGACGCCGGGCACGCGTCCAACTTGGCGAAGAGCGGGGGCGCCGAGCTCAAGCTGCTGGGCGTTTCGCAAGACTACTTGAAGAGCGTTGCTGAGCACGCGGGAGGCGATAAAGGCGATATCGCGGGGATCTACGGCGCGGCGAGGAAGAATTGTGGGTTGAAATATGAGAATGACGCATAACTCATAGAAGAGGAGAGGAGAGAAGAGAATGATATGTTTTAAAGAGGTTATGAACTTTATGAGATGAGCTATATGAGACGAAGTATACTATGTATGATGTAGTTGTTTAGAAAAAGGTAGCTTCAACTAACATCACATAATAATACTATTTTAATACAGACTGAAGGAAAACCTGTTAACATGACTAAGCACCCTTTTAGCGTCTTAACGTCCTAAACGTCCTGAATGTCCAGCGTAATGGGGGGCTGAACCGTCATGAACCAATTACAACCTCAGTTTGCACCAATTAATACCAGTAAATACCAGTACAAGCTTCTACCTAGATTAGCAGGTAGTTATTAATCTTCGCATTTCCCAAGCTATAATATAATAACCAATCCACCGATTTCGACAGACGAGAATTACGAATTGCCCTGCTTTATTTTACAATATGGCAAAGGGGTACGTTGGCAATGGTACACGTGCAGTAGCTTGAGTTTTAAGCTGACCATATCGCGCCATACAGTTACAGCGTCTTTGTCGGCCTCGCCGTCGTCGTCGGCCTTTGCGTCGCCGCTTGGATATTCTCCCCGAAGGGCGAGAACCAGACGTGAGTTTGTTTACTTTACCTTACCTTTCATCCCCTCTACCATATTCTTGTTTTAAGCGAACCGACGGGAATATTGTTTCGTTATCTTCTATATACATACCCATCTTTTGCTGACCGGGGAAAACTAAACTAATAACAACAATAATAATAATATAGTACCTGGCGCTCCTCCCTCATCCTCGCCTTCGCCAGCTGCTACCTCATGTGGTTCATCACCTTCATGGCCCAATTACACCCCCTCATCGAGCCGAGACGGTCCGACGTCCGCCCGGGCTTCGAGCACGAATGAGCGAGCTGGGGGGGCTGAAGATCTTCCTTCTTCTTCTTCTGCCTACGCCTCTACCCGAATACGAAACGATCCGGTACGAGAACGCGATAGAGGAATGCTTGTGGAGCGTGTAAGAGTTAGGGACTCGGTAGAACACAGGGGGGTGGATAGCTTAGCCATTCGACCGAACATTGGGATGAAAGAATATGGCGAAAAAAACAACAACAACACAATAGCCTTTCGAGAGGGAAGCGAACGGAAGAGGAAAGAGAGAAGAGAGAAGAGAGACATAACCGGATCAAACCGGAAGTGGACCTGTATCAACATCACTACCGTTATCTACACATCTTGGGTTCTGTTTTTTTGTCGGCGTTCTGGAAGACGGGCATCCATCATATTATCACATGGTAGCAGCAAGCCGGGCGAGCATCGCAGGCAGACGCTACTGGACATCTGCGCGGGACATAGTGTTCTTAATACGACGGCATTTTTTCTTTTCTTTTTTTTCGAACAAACTTTCATTTCATTTCATGGCGTTTCATGCCATTCTCACTACCTAACCTATTCTAGGCCTCGAAGCAACTAACTACCTCCTAACCTAACCTAGGTAATTTTGTAGGCATTGCTTTACTTTACTTTACTACCTATCCTACAGCTAACCTCCCCGCCCACTCCCTCGCATACACGAGCAACGCCCACAACGCCCTCCCATCGGCCGCGACGCCGTTGTCGCCCGCCGAGTCCACGCCCTCGAGCCCGACAACCCACAGAACCGCCCTGCCCACCAGCCAGCGCGCGACGGCGCCCGCGGCGGCCAGGGCCAAGGCGACGCCGTACCCGCAGTCGAGCAGGATCTCGAGGGCCTCGACGTTGTTGGCCACGACGGCCCAGCCGAGGCTGCGCGCGGCCGCCGGCACGTCGTAGTCCCAGATGACCATGAGGATGGGGAACAGCTTGGTGGAAGACGAGACCAGGAGCGCCGTGGACACCGAGTTGGGCCGCGGGTACGTCGGCAGCAGGCCCAGGAAGTTGAGCGGGGAGAAGGGCGACGAGGTCAGGAATCGTATGCTGAGGTGGAAGGCGAGCGTCGAGAATGTACATAGGATTACTAGTGGAAAGAAATATCTAAGTTTAGCAAGACGAGAGAATATAATAAAAACAGGGTCATGCGTAATCACCAGATGAGAGAAAGAGAGAGGGAGAGGACTTACAAAAGAATAGGTACTGAAATACGATGGGCTGCTGCGCTAGAGTCCCGAGATTACTTCCCCCCGGAGAATTCGGGCCAGGCGCGGCTTGCTTCTCGATGCGGGCCCAGGTGAGATAGACGTCGAAGAGCAGCAGCAGAGTTCCGAGGCGTACGATAGACGGCTGTTGGGGGGGAATCCTGACCTATCAGCACGCGAGCACATACCAACATAGTTGACTTATAGAGCAAGGGATATATATATAGACCCGTAGACATGTATATAGATGCGGATAAAGAAAGAGAGATGGCGGTAGTGACGTACGTCGAACTGGTCGCGCTCGCGCATCAGGGTGTTGTGCAGCAGGTGGCGGTAGACCTGGGGCTTGATGAGGACGAGGTCGATGAAGAGCACCACGAAGTCGTGCTCGACGTACTTGTCGCAGAAGCGCCCGCACTTCTTGCACACCGTCAGCCGGATGTTGTGCCCGCTCGACGGGTCCCCCGCCCCCGAGTACTGCGTCCAGAGCGTCTTGACCGGGTGCCGGCACTCGATGCAGATCGGCATCTTCTTTCTTCTTTCTCCTTTCTTAAATTCTATTGGAAACTTCCTTGCGTATCCCGTATGTTATTGCGATGGGTAACTGCGTTCATAATATTGTGTGTCTGTGTAGTTGTGGTCAGATACCCTCCTGCGCGATTAGGAAGGCGGCATTCGCGATTGTGTAGTATTTGGCTGCGGATGGTATATCGCCTGGTGATGATGGTGGTAGATGTCGCGAGATAGCATGTCTAACTATGACCGCATGGTGGTTAGCTTAGGTATGTCTAAAAGCTACAGGACCTGGATATATAGAAGCTAGTGTAAGGTAGTAAGGTTTCTACCTACATACCTATAACACCCAATACCTATAAATCTACCTAGGTACGTAAGGTATTTTATGACGTTGCGAGAACCCAATTGGACGGGGGACCCCTAGAGTCTAGAGTTGGTAAAGATAAAGCTAGGGGCATGCATGCACTGTGTACCTGAGCAGCTAAATTGAAGTTTAAATGGCAATCGACCTGAATGTTAGGTAACTTCGCATAATCTTATCGCTGAGATAAGGTATAAATAACACTCGACTTAATATAAGAGTAAAAGCAGACGATATATATGTCTACTAGCTACACCAATATAATTCTACTTTAAGATAATACAGCATCACCAGCTCAGCACCAAAAATTACTAACTTGAGATATTTAAATTCCATTTTACCCTCTCCTTTAAAGTACCCAATGCAAGCAAGCCTTGTAAAGTGTGTAGAGTACCTGTACTTGTATGTAATAATAACTTGACTATATCTACCTACCTATATACAAAACGACAACAAAGAAAAAAAAGGTAGCCGAGACCATCCGTATGTAAGTAACTTCCAAGAACCCACGATATAGTAAAAAAAATAAACAACGCCATACATGGCGATCCTCCCTCCTGAACGCCTCTGGCAATGCAGACCACACAACAACGCATCAGCACACCACCAAGCCGGCACACAGTGCTTCGGGGCAACGAGAAGAACAAGAACAAAATAAATTGGGGAGTATAACTGCGATATATGCTGCTGCTTTTGCTTCTGCTTCTGCTTGTTTGCTGCCACCGTGGTGGAGTTGGCTGAATTACACGCACGCAAACATGGAAATTCGGAACCGGCTTGGACCGGGGGCGGCAGGAAAATGCCATCTATCGAAAACTGATTGTGGTGGTGTTCTTCTTTTCTAAAATAAATTCATCATTGAATTCGTCGTCGTATATCCTCCCTCACCCCCTACCCCATCTCCCCCGCATCTTTTTTCCCCCTTTCGAACCCGATGCCAGAACTTGCTTGCTTGTTTTCTTGCTTGTTGGCTCATCTCAGCCAGCCCAGTCACTTCAGTCAGCTTTCTTCCCCTTACCCTCCGCCGCGCTCGCGCTCGGCGGCGCCGAACGTCCTCTAACCGTGCCTCCTTCGCCTGCGCCTGCGCCCTCGCTCCGGCCCGTAGTCCCACCGTTCCCGCGGAAAAAGCTCTGGTGGTCGAGGAGTGCCGGCTCCGGGCCTCCTCCCCTGCGTCCATCGTCGCTATTCGCATCCGCTAGCTCGATGAGATCTAGGTCCTCGGGCGGCTGCTGCTTTCGATGGGAGCCGAGCCGGGGCGTGACGGGGCGCTTCGCCCAGGCGCCGCGGAGCCAGGACTCGATGGAGGCGGCGGCGAGCTCGAGGCCTGCCGGGCCGTTGCGGGGCGACGAGGAGATGGCTTCCCGGCCGTTCTCGAAGGGACTTTCTACGATCACGGCTGCTTCCTCTGCTGAATTATTGAAGCCGAAATGTGCGGTTTCGGATCCCATGACGGACATAGACGGCATCGAGTCGATGTTGAACCCGGGCAGCGTCTTGTTGACCCACGTGTTGAAGTAGTCCTTCGCCGGGCCCGGCGCCTTGACGCTCTTCCCCATCGACCCGACCCCTCCCGGCCTCCGCATCCACACCGGCACGTGGTCCGCCTCGCCCAGACTGGTAACTCTGCTCCTGGCGGGCGACGACGTCCCAAGACTCGCGGCTACTGGCCGCGCGCTGATGGAACTCTGTCGCGGGGATGAGAGCTGGCCCGGGCTATCGAAGACTTCGGAGGTGTTCGTGATAGCTTTGGATAGTTCGAGGGAGTGGCGCGGGGTCGAGAAGGTGGAGACCGTGTGGATGCTCTTCTTTCGACGGGGAGGGAAGTATCCCATCGACTTCCTCGATACTCTGACAATCTCCACGGGCTCCTGGATAGAATCGAGCTTAACCCATCGCACATGTGTCCAAGGCGGTTCGTCTTCTTCTTGCGCGGGAAGGGCTGCTGACTTTCCGCTGATAGAGTCAAAGTAACTATCGTGAGTTTGCCGCGATTGTGGGGTATGTGTGGTAGAACTTCTGCTGGAGTCGGAGATCATTGGCGTAGCAGCTAGGTGATCGACTTTCTGAGAGTATTGGGATGGAGGGTCGCACGGTCGGCCTTTAAGCTCGCATGCGTCGACTGGTATCATCAAATGCTTGCGCACTTGGATATTATCCCGAGACCACAAGCCATTCGTCTTTCTAAATGCGTGCTCCTGACATCTGTAACGAAGAACAATACCAGCATATGTGTCCGTGGGCTGTACGTGGTGCAAATAGACTAACTGTTCCTCGACGACATCCGCTACACTTCTTGGAGTCTCGTCCGAGTTCCTCCTCTTATATTTCCCACTCACGTCCAAACCGCCATTCACCCCCTCGTAGCTTTCTAATACGCTAGCCGTCTTCCTAGCCTTCAGCTGTGCCTCCCGCTTGGCAAGAGATCCCGCTCCGATGTCACCGGCAACTGGTCGTGACTCAGAAGGAGGTGCTGGCCCCCAGTTGCTGGAGGACTTGCCAGCTTTCGCGATCCCACTCCCCAATCCCTTCCATATAGATTTCGGTCGTGACTTGTCCCCGTTGCGGCTATTAGGGCGCGAAGGTTCGCTGCTGTAACCACCATCCAAGAGAGAAGACGCAAAGTCCTGCACAGACGCCCAGCTCGGCGCCCACGACCCCTCGAGAAGGCCGCGCGAGAAGGCGGCGTTCGAGGGGCTCGACCTCCCGCTCGACAGTAGCTTGCTGCTTCCGAGGTGAGAGGACGGCATGGGACTCGCCCCCCGGCTGGGTGCGGAACTCTCGGCGGGCGTTAACCCCGGCGATCTTACTACTGCATCTCGGCTCTTAGGGGCCTTTCTGCTCCGCGACCTCACGGAGGTGGTATCGTCGACACCGGCGGGTACGAGACCGGTGGTAGACCTCGGCGCGGCAGGGCTCGATGTCCTACCCGTATCGGCCATGTTCTAGGGGCGATACGAGCCTAAGGAGGCTAAGGCTGGTGCGGATTGGTAGATAACATTGATCGCGTCGGACGAGAAGCAGCTTTGCAAGCAAGTATTTTTTCGAGGGTTGTTCTTATCTCTATCGTAGCTGTTGTAGAGTAGAGCGGAAATTACATATATACCTTTATCTATCACTGGGGGGGTTTTTTCGGTCAAATCGGCAATCAGCCGAATGGTGGCATGCGTGAATGATACGTCTGTATCGGTCGAATGATTTGGGATCTTTGAAATTAAAAAGCGATAATAGAGTTTATAAGAGGAAGAAGGTTGAGTAGTCGATACGATTAGGTAGGTACCCAAGTTAGAAAGAAGTTTACATTACAGGAGGTTCGTCGAATCGAATTGTACACGTACCATTGTATCCCCCCTTGGGCCTTTAGGAGATTGGACAGGATCTGCACGTCAATTTTGTGCTGGATTTGTACTGAATTATATGCATTGTCTTGGTTACGTGGGACACTACCAAGGTACCTGCTCTAGGTACCGTCTTAGGTTAGGTACTTGTAAACCAACACCAAAGGTACAGCGCCAAAAGCCCCTAAGCCCCCAAGCCCCTCAGCCAAGCACCACTGGCCAAGACGGCTGGAACGGCGCTGTGGGCGCTCAGGAAATGACCTAACAATAGCTGCTACAAGGGTAAAAACGTACTTGTATTGTACTGTACAATACCATCTTTATGCTGGGCACACTGGCTTACCTATGTCTGGAAAATCTCATTTTTAAAACTGTATGTTGGTTGGTACCTCCTACAACTCAACTCTTCAATTCTCATGTAATAATATTTCCATTCCCACACGTAAGCCTTCTCATATTTACATTAGGTATAGATAGAAATATATATACACCTAGGTATATAATATATATAGTTTTTTTTTTTTTTTTTTTTTTTTTTTTTTTTTTGTAATAAACCTTTATAAACACAACACAACCAAAGGAAATGTGTTTTATTTTTATAAAAAAAAAACCTTTTTCACAAAAATTTAGTGATTTTAGTTTAATTAC